TTTCTTAACTTAGAGTCTCCATTGATTAAAGAGGTTTGTTTTTTTATTAAAAATGTTCTTAATATAACAGAAAATAGCTTAATTCAGGAATGATTTAAGTTTAAAATTGAATTGATATTTTTACTTTCATGATAAATTTTATGCACATTGCTTTTGGCTAGGTGATCACACACTACATCTTTACTTTAAGCTTATTATAGCAACACTCACTACACTTATAAGGTTTCAAGGCACCCCCTCCCCTCACAGCCCCCTTGCACTCCTGTCACTAAAATCGTAATGGACAGACAGTAATCAAACTATTCTATCTGGATAAATGCATTTTGGCTTTTATGACTCCTCCCATTTTGAGAAATCAAATGTGATGTGACATACATTGGCTTTTATATAGGGTAGATGACCATGTGCTATACTGTAGTGTAAGCCTAGTTTACTGTATATTGACACTAGCTTACATTAGAAATTATGCAAAAAAAAATACTAGTAATAGTATTGTTTGAAAATAGAATGTTGACCTGACTTTATATCATGGCAGTGTGTGTGTGTTTCTATCTATCTATCTGTCTGTCAAAGGGCTGCTGTTTGGAGACCATGTAACTGATTTTTGTCAATCTTGGTCAAATAGTCAGACATGTTGGAGTTGAGTTTTGTTGGTAGAAATTAGTTCTTTAAACTTCTTCTCCCAGGAATTTTGTCTGATTGTTCTCAAAGTTAGACAAAGTAATAAAAGGATAGAGGTGAATAGAAGTTGTATACAATTCTAAGGTCAGAGGTCATTTGGGGTCAGGAGAGGGGCAGAAGCTAGAAATATTATAAATTACTTGTTCTCTTTATGTGTAAGTCTGATCTTTATCAAAGTTTGATAAATTAGTAAGTGAATAAAGATGCCTGCCATTTGTTAATGATTTGTAAGGTCACCGGAAGTCTAATCCTGGAAACCTTTAAAATACTTCCCTCCCAGGGATTTTATTTGATCCTTCTCAGGGTCAGACAAATTATTAAATGAAGAGAGGTGTCTAAAAGTTGTATAGATTTTCAGGTCAAACGTCATTTGGGGTCAGGAGGGGCAAAAACTATGAATGTCACATGGCAGTTTAGATCAACATGGTACCTCTTTTTTTTTTAATCTTAAAGCTAATGTACTCTCTTTCACAAGTTTCATTGGTTAAAGTTAATACTCACCTACCTGATAAACATAATCTGGAAGGATAGGCCAGCTTCCCAGGCCCCTAATGAAAATTATTAATGCCATATTTATTAAAGTACATACTTAGTGCCCTCCAGTCAATTTTTTTTACTTTGGTGACCTTGAAAATATGAGAAAATCCAACTCCAAAGGGCCTTGACCTAGAAATTATGAATTTCCTGGCCTGTGTAAGTGTACCCAATTCACCTGTGAGAAAGATATGATTTCCCAAAGCACTCAGATGTTGCAATATACATTTTGGCAATTCATTCCGAAAAAAAAAAATGTATGCCGTCCCAAAGTGCTTGGGTATTAAAAGATATATTCCAAATTCACCCCTGAAAAAGGAAAGCTCATATATCTAAAAGGCTTGGATTTTTTATATTTTGTTTCTTGTTTGGGGATTTTATTCATTCTAGGAATTCATGAATGAAAGCAAAAGAGAATAGGTTATAATATGTCAACCTCACAAATAATTGGCAACACAGTATTATTTATTTTATTTTAACACCAATTATTTATTTATGTTTACTATTATTCTTAAAAATTAACTTCACAATCATTCACAAGAACTGGTTAGTGAAACAAAAAGTTAGTCTTTTTGTCCTTGCAATGGGTCAAATAATCACAGTATCAAAGGGAGAAAGCTACATTAATAGTTCTATGAGCTTAGGAGTGAAAGCAAAGGAGAATAAATTATAATATGTTAATGACACTACATCTGCTATATCCAGTGCTGATGAAGCCTTTTGCTCCATACCAGGGCTCATCAGACCAGCTGGGATATGACGGGCATTATAGTTTTCAATGTTTTACTTGTAGAGGTTGTAGTTATAGTTATTGTATTGAAAGGTTTTATAAATTCATTGAATAGATTAAGAACTATAGCTAAGGTATAGATATTTATAAAAAATATTTTATTTATATCGCATACTTAAAATTGATTTATCTTATTTAATTCTGGAAATTAATGTAAAATCTAAGTTATAAGATGCTCACATGATTAAATACTATATATTTTCAAGTTGTGAATGTTGATTATTATAAAATTATTGTAAAACTTTTCAAAAGTAGAATTTTAATTTGATTACAAACTTTAGAAATATTTGATCTGTTTATAAGATGTTAATATAGCTTTTAATAATAATGAAAATAAGGTTACAGTGTTCGAGATTTTAACTTTTTTAGCATTTGATTTAGCCGCAATGTAACTCTGCTTTATTTTAGATGGTTAATAACCACATTTAATATTGTGACCTCTTTTTTTTTTTTGCTACATGCTTTTCTTTGCTCATACTTTTTCTAGGCCTTTCTGAGAAAAAAAAGAAAGGTGGGTTTTACTTTATTCAGATCAGTTCCCCGGATAAATGGTTGTGTTTGTTTTGGAAAATATAATGAAATATTTATGTTTATGTTTTTTATACAGATAACACTGGGCAACAAAACATTTTTCTCTGCTATTAGAAAAATTGTAACTGTTTCTGAGTAATTTCATGATGCTGATACTAAAAATCATTGAAAATTACGTACACCTCTGATGTTTGAGTTATGTTAGATTTATTCAAAATAGTCTTATATATCATGAAAATAACTTTTTCTTTAATAACTTATTTATTCATTGAAAATTGCATTTAAGAATGTTCAAAAGCAATATAAATAGCAATACCAATTTAAAAAAGCAATGAGTATAGTAAGATTATATACTGAAAATACTTTCAGTCTTATGTTCAAAATTTTCATCCTGGTATTTTTTTTTTAATTTTTGTTACAAAATACCTACCTTCTTGTGCCTTTTGTGTTTGTTTTTAGTTTCATGCTGTAAGAACCAACAGTTATCTCCCATCGTTGCAGGATTCCATTGTTCTTGATTTTGCTTCTCCTTTGTAGAAATATCATGGTGGAAGCACTCACCATGCTCATCTCTCATTGCACCTAGATCATTTGGAAAGAGGTCTAAATGGGAGTGTAAGAAGTCCATTTTCTTGTAGTTCTCAAGCATATCATTAATCATCACTGCATAGTTTTCTTTTTGTGGTTTCCTAAGAAATTTTTGACAACCAGTTTCAATGATTTCCAGGCAGCATGTTCTTTCTGATTGATTAGTGTTTCAAAATCATCATCCATCAGCTCTTCCTGAATCTTTGACCCAACAAAAATACCTCCTTTCATTTTTGCTTCACTGATTTTTGGAAACTTGTCAGACAAGATATCTGAAACTATTCCCATCTTTGTTCATTCCTTTTACAAAATTCTTCAGGGGTTCCAGTTTGATATGAAATGGGGCAGAAACACATTTTGAGGATTCACTAAAGGTTGATACTCTATATTCTGTTTTCCTGGTATGTAATTCTCTCTCACTGGCCATTCCTTTTCTTGAAATGATTTTTATCATCTCAGCTGTCCCAGACACACAAAAAGCAACATTGTTTGGTATACTCACTTTGCATGCCTAGCAGGAGTGCAAGAACTTTTAGATTAACACATATGTTCTGTCTATGGTGACCATATTTGATGTCCTTAAGTATAATCTGCTAGCTTTGATAAGTTTCTTTCATGTTCACAGCATGAGCAACAGGAATTTAGGGCTTAGAGTTCCATTGTGCAAAATTACAGCTTTCATACTAACTTTAGATGAGTTGATAAAAAGTCTCCATTCATGAGGATGATTTTCAGTACATAATTCTTTCATTAGTGCATCAACATTTGTAAGAAACACAAAGTATCTTACATGCTCTAGTGAGAAGCTATACTTTGATGGCAACTTTGGGAAATTGAAAATCTTGTTCCTGGAGTTAATAAATTCCATTAATGTAAACAAGAGCTAAGAAGTTCTCAATGCTGCTTTGATAAAGACAAGTCACTAATCAGATCATTTAGCTCTTCTTGCGTGATCAGTTGAGGCAGTTTATGTTGAGTTGCCATAGTAATAAAATTACTAGATGAAGAGGATGTAGGATATTCATTATCTTCTTTGCAGGATAACTTTTCTGTTACCAAATTCACGGGTAGATGTGGCACGAGTAGACCATCCCCATGAGGTACTGATTTTGTTATAGATGCAAATCTGAATATTTAATGTATCGTTTAGTTTTGCCTGAATATCCAGAAACATTAGTCAGTTAGATGATCTTTGGGTTCATGCCATATCATAAGAACTGCAAATGGCATACTTGCTCTCTTCTTATTTAGCCACTGTGTCAAGCCAGATGTGCAAACTGTACAACACAAATGTAAGCCCAATGTTTTTCTTTGTCCCCAATTTTACACCCAAAATAGTGGTAGTAAGCTTCCTTTATCTGATTTGTGATATTTGTCCTTTGTGAAACTGTAATATATTTTCCACAAATGTAGCAGAAACTGTTTGGGGAAATTTTTGCACTTTTGGACCTTACTTGAACTCAATTCAGCAAGCATGTCAAATAATTTTATAAGAAGTATTAAAGAATTTACATTTACAGAACTAGAGCTTAAAATATTTTAAAAATAAAGTTTTGTATAATTTAATTATATTGTGGGTATGATACAAAAAGAAGATTGGACTTTGTTTTGATTGTGCACTAAGCGAGGCGAGGTGAGTAACTGAGTGAGTGTGAGGCAACTGAAAGAGAGATGTTTGACTTTGCCCCTTTTTATGGTCAGTGGAGGAACTTCTTGAATGTTCTAGCAAACTGAGCACATGAGGGTTTTGTGATTCCCGGACAGAGCAGTTAAGTGTGGGAATGAAGCAAAAGTGATGCAATTTGCTATAGTTATATCAAGAACAAATAGCATATGTGAACAATATATTTGGAATTTTACACCAATACAATACAATCAGTGTTTGAAGTTATCAAAAACCTATGCCTTTTACCAGGTAAACAGTCCAAGTAAATTTAATTTCACAGTATAAATCTATTGTACTGAGTTGGTTAAGATATTACACTAACTCAAAATCTAGAGGTGATGGATAAATTCTGACTGCATTTTTGAAATCAGCACCATTAAATTACCCCGAATCACTTGAGTTTTCTACAGTAGCAAAGTTTTTGTTTTCCAGTGCAATAGGTTATTTTCTTATTACTGTTTTTTGTGTTTGCTTTTTTCGAAATTTAATGTATATTTAGAGGAAATAAACTTGGGTTTGCTTACAATATATTCATAAGTGCAACTTTTGAATATATTTGTATATTATTTATAGTAAAAGAGGAGCACATTATTTTACACATTTTGACCCAGAACAATAGTTTTCTTTCATTATAAATTAACTGATATATCTTAATGCTTTTTTGAACATTATTGGTAAGCTTCAGACTGAGGAAGTAGTAGTTTTGGATTAAATGATTTTCATTTGAAAGATGCATTGAAAGGAAGAATTTTTTCTTGATAGTGTCACAATCTGTGTTTTTGTGTGTATTATATCTCAGAAGTTATCAGATTAAGATATGATATAACTTGAAGCATTATAGAATTAATCCATACTAAATGATTTTGATATTAAAAGTGACATTTTAAAAAACCACTGATTGCTGAACAGATTTTAATTTGTCATTGATTGTTAAATGTAATTAAGCATTTGTAAGAAAGGGAAACAAATATAGAAAAACATAACAATGAAATACAGTTCATTTCTTTAAAATTTAATAAAATGTTTGATAATGTTTTGTAGACTTTTAAACATTGTTAAAAGGAAATTATTTACACTTTATGCATATATTTATATACTCATGTAAGTATAAATGTGTATATGTTTTAGAGCTTGGTGCTGCAGTTGGTCCAGATGTTCGAAGTGTGATGGCAGGAGGAACAAAAACAGGATGGCTTCCTGATGTAGCAGTTGTCTTATGGAAGCGGATGTTGGGTGCCTTAGGAAATATTAATCAAATCAAAGATCCTGCTATTCATGCTCAAGTTCTTGATTACCTTATTCAACTGTCAGATACTTTAATTAAAGTAGGTATTTTTGCACTTTGCTCACCCAGTGACATTAACTACCCGATAGCACCATATAAACATCAGCCAATTTTTGTTTTCCTTTCTTCATTACTTATATAGAATGAAACAGTTTGTAAAAAACATGAGGCATTGACTTTATTAAAACTTTCAAGTTTTTTTTTTTAATCAAATGAAGCATGCATGAATTTAAAAAAAATAAATGCATTTATTTTGTTGTATAGATAAGCCTTTTTATCTTTTTAGATAAGAGATAATCTTGGTGTGACAGCTGACAATCAGTCTAGCCCTCCTCCTGCTGAATTGGTCCCTCCTTTACACTTAATAATTCCATGGTTATTTGAGGTAAGATACTTGCCCAAAGGCATGTGAAATTATAATTGATATTTATTTGTGTAAAAGTGGTATTTAAAAAAATATTAGGTGGAAGAAAAATCCAGTAGACCTGTAGTTAGTCTTCGATTGTAAGTCTTTTACATTCAGATGTTTTATTTTCAGTAAGTTGCTGGTAGAAGACAGAGATTGACAGTATGAGAAGATATGTGACAAACATAGAATAGCTGAAAATTATTTCACTTAAAGTTGTTGCACAATGCATTTCAATAACTTATTGTTGTATTATATTCCAAGGTACCATTAAATAAAGTTTTTATTTTTAGAAGTTAATTATCTGTTAAACTATGGAAAATTACATCTGTAACACAAGCTGATTGCAGTGGTGCAGGGATAGATGGGGCAGCTGCTCCAGGGACTTTGAGCCCTGGTTATGCCACTAGCTGATTGCGAAGTATACTTGTCAGTTTTTGGTCATTTTTTAATGTAAGGATAAGATTTCCATTATAATGGAAGAGAATTTTTTATTAGTTTCATACCAAACATTTTTGGGGGATAGCTTATAAGTACTGGTATGTGTGTAAAACTAAGATGGTAGTTATTGACAGTTTTAATTTTACAAAAAATCTGTTTTATTTTTTATGTGCATATTTTGACTGAAAGCAAGTAATTAAAATGTTTAGTTTATTCAGTCCATCTTTGAAAATTTATTGGTTATATTTCACATTGTTTGGAAATGTTTGCAAAGTAGTCTTGTTCTCAGCTTATTAGCTCTCTCAATACAGGCATGGTTGATGCGACTGACCTTGTAACCCTAAAGTAACCCTCAGAGTTTCTATACTGTAATTTTTAATGTTTTGTGTACCTCCACAAAATTTGGCAAGCTTTCAGTAAACATTGCAAGTTTTTTTGTACACAAAAAATCAAATTTGTGATTATTTTTTACTAAAAATATAGTCAGTGTTGACTGCCCCAAGTGCTTAAGTGATTTTCATGTTAAGATTAAAAATGCTTTTCTTCATTTAAAAAATTCTCAAATTTTACTTGCATAATCTCTGAAGTCTCCTGAATAAATATTGAATGTTTTTTTCAGTAAAACTTTATAGTTATCTGTTATTTTCTCTACTCTAACTTTGGATGCATTTGATAGAATTCACCAACTTTGTAACCACATAATGAAAATACATAATAAATCTAAATTACTCTTTTTATTTCTAGAATGACTGCACATTGTAACATGAAATTACTACAATTCTTCAACCTAAGTGCCCCCCAGTGGCACAGCAGTATGTCTGCAGACTTACAATGCTAGAAACAGATAGCCCATTGTGTTGCTTTGTGCATAATTAAAAACAGACAATCAACCTAAATAGATTGAAGTTTGTAACAGTACACATTTGTTTATACTTAACTTATTGTGTTATTGCTCTTTAAACCAGATCTAAATAATAAATCCCACCACATAAATTGTAAATCACTTGGCAAATGAGGAGTTCATGGTACCATATTGAAAGACATAACATATGACCTACTCGCGAGCATGCCTTGTGAAATATTATTATCTTACCTAGTAAGTTTCTAACTTTTACATTTTAATTACTTTTATAATAATAAAGAATATACATGAAAAATAAGAAATATATCATTTTCTTGTGACCCCCTTATTTATTGCTGTCGATGAAATTTAAGCCTACTTTTTTATACTAATGGAACTAGTACACTAAATAATTTTTATTTACTTAAATAATGCACCTAAGAACACAGAATAATAACATGTACAAAGCAATAAATATCCTATAACTATCACAATTTATCAGGCTTTCCAATTATGGCATAAAAGCCTTTAAAAATTTAGCTTGGCTTGTTGATCTAGACACAGCGATTAAACCTTTCAAACTAAAAATGAAATAGATAGTAACCTGTATGGAAAACCATGTAATATAAGACCTCATTTGATAGATTAAAAACTTGGCCTTCTATTGGTTATAAAAAATGTAATATATCAGAGAGAACTATTGACAATTTGTGAAAGAGAGAATTGACAGGTGGGTGTGGCAAGTGAATCTGATTATCTGGTTTATGTCTCCATGAATAAATAAGACTGAAGACTATAAAATTCATATTTGTATTATAATGAGTAATTTACATAAAATTCTGTACTTTTCAGAGGGGTGGTAAATAAATTAGAGAAGAGGGAAGACCTAGAGAGCAAATATTACAATTCTCATACCAGGGGAGATTTAGGATTTTTAAAAATATTTTCTTATAAAATTAAGAACTTGAAACTTATATAATATTAAAATTTTATTGATGAGCTACGTTTTGATGTCAGGTTTATTTGTATACAATGATAATAAAGTAGTTTAATTAAATTTTGAATGTACCTCTCTAAAATGTCGTGACATGCACACTTTGACCTCCTCATAGCGAGAGGGTTAAAACATGAATAAACTCTTCAGAGGGTTGATCATGGTTTGTAACAATAGCATGTTGTTACATATTCAAGCTATGGTGCCATATATAACATGTTTATCACCTTTATGTTTGGCTCACTGTGAAATCTTTATCATTTGACAGTGCAATGCTGCCACTGTATAGACATATGGTTCGAAGGATATGTCTCAGCTGTTTCCAGGTGAAGATATTGGTACAATGAAATTGTTAAATGCTTTAAAACCAAGACCTACAACATTTTATAGAAGTGAGCCTTCAGTGTTTTATATGAAAGCAGAAACACTGGCAGTAGAATTTATGCCAGTAACAGACTTTTAAAACACCACCACAAGTGAATCTAGAGCAAAATCATTATCAGTAAAGGGAAGGCTATGGTTATAAATGAGAACCCTCCAATCCATAAAGCCATGATAAACATGGATTTGAAGTTGGCAAGAGCTCACAATCTTTCTGTCATTTCTCAAAATTAATGACTATTTTCTTGAAAAAGATAACTAAAAGAAAAGAAGACTCAGAGTATCCTTGTATGCTTACATACCTGCAAATCCCTTGCAGTGTAGTATTATAAGCATATTGTTGCTTTGATCTACCTAAATGTAGTCTTGGAAGCCAACTTCCAAGTATATGGAGAGTGTGCAAAAGGTTAAAGATGTGTGGTCTAACACTGAAGATACCACCCTTTGCAGAAATTACTTACATTGGAGATTGCAATATTCAGCAATAGTACGTCATCATAACCATCAGATCGAACATGATCAATGATGGAATCAGTAGTTCCTAGGATGGTATGAAATTTGAAACATCAAGTTATAAAATATTAAAATTTCAAGGTACTTGTGCAAATATAAATAATTAAAATACTCAAATGAGAAATGTTTTTTTTAAGTACACAATATGAAAACAATTCTGAGACTGTCAACACCTCAAAACAGACATTAGATGTATCAATGTCCAATCAGGAATTTAAAATCAAAATCATTGTAAACAGAAACCACAGAAAGCCATTGGTCTTGTGACTACTTAGTTTACATAATGAATTTGAAGAAAATCATGTCATCTGCATACTTTCTAACTTGTCAACCCTTCATTCTTATTTAAGATATGATAATAATTTTTAGTGTTTCATTACGTTTATAGTTTCTCTGATATTTCTAGCCATTCTATCATTTGGTTGAGCCAGAATAACAATTTTCTCCACTGAATGATATGATCAGTATGATTTACATATTCAGCTAGTATAGAATTTTAATTTTTTTTTTGCACATTTCTCCTGTATTTATTTATTCTAAATTTTAAATTTCTTTTACTTTGGCCAGTGTATACACAACCATAATCACATTCAATTTTGTTAATACCCATTTTCTCCATTACCTTAGTTAAAACTTTAGTTTTATTTAATATTTGACTAATTTTATTCAGAGGTATATAAATCGGAAAAAAAAGATTTTTGTGTTGCTTTTCAAATTTTCAAACATTTGACATATTGACTTGGAACATATGGTAGAAATAGCATTTCCTTTTTATCTATTTCATCAAATGTTGATTTTATGTTAGTTTTTTGATTATCATTTGGAAATGTACTATATAATTTATAAAGTTTGAATAATTCTCAGCATATTAACTCTTGAAGTATTGTAATAACATGCCATTAGTTTAAAAAATTAGAATATGTAATAGGTAAGTAAAATTCAGGTTTGGTATGATGGATGTAATTTTCCTATTTTTAACATGATAGCATTTAGTATAATTTAAGTCAAAGCATGGTTTTAGGGTACTTTTTTTAATATCTGTAAAAACATTGTGACAAGATATTATGTTTAATTACAATAGACTGATGATATTTTATCTAGTTTTCAAGAAATGAAATGAATTTTTGTTATATTTTTTATTTATTGCCAAAAGTATTTTTTAAGCTTCTTCTTATGTAAAATTTAACCTGTTTACCTTCTTCTATCACTAACAGCATATAAGTATTTGAGCTTTTAAAGAAGCTTTCAGGAAACATATATGATCTTGGTAGTAGATATTGTTTTTAAAAATACGTACTGGCCTCGTGCTACAGACAATTCAATCTTTCATTGTTAAAAGATTTTGATTGTATGTTTTTTTCAGACTATTCATCTCCCAGAGCAATATCATCAAGGAAGGTTGCTTGCTTATCGACTGTTATGTACTTTAACAGTGCGAAGGCATGACTTGCCATTACCACAAGATTATTTAGTGAAATTTTACCAAACCTTGCATCAGGGGTTAATATCGACAGAACAGGTTTATAGATTACTTACTTATTAATTATTATAAATTAAATCAAGGTGTAATAACTTATTGTTTTCATATAGGTGGTATTCATATATCTCGCAATATAAAAGTTTAATAGCTGAGGTTATAAAATCTTATTGTGTTACATTAAATTAACAGTGGACAACAGAAACTACTGTACATAAAAGAGATAAATCGATAAGCTGTATAGCTAGGTTAATTATTTTCAAGTTACTGTTTTTTATAATTGAAGATATTTGCACATGAGCTTTTTAAGTTTAAATTTAATGCACATGTTCTGAAAGAATATTAAAAGTAGCTATGAGCATGAAATTACAGGTTATATATTACCAGTATTTGTAGAATAATTTATACTTTTTTCTGATTGTCCATTACACGCAATTAAAATAGTGAATAATCAGTGTCCCATTTGTCAGTAAAAAATTTACATTACCTAATATTATTATATTTCCCACTTTCTTTTTAAAGAAAATTTATTATCTAGAAATAATTGTGGAGTCTATAATGTTGAAGAGAAGCACAGATGACATCCTTGTGTGAGCTGTATTTAAATTTTGGACTTGTAAAGAACACTTGGAAAACAGAAAATAGTAATAATCATGTCTGAAGTAGATAGAAAAAACTTCAGTAAAATTTTAATTAATAGTAGCCATAATATCTGTTTTGTGTTATCCAACGTAGATTTAAATTGTTAACTTTGTTTATTAACAGGATGTTATCAACACAATAGTGAAGTACACAGGACCAAAATTATTTTCTATTGGGCTTCCAGGCTGTACCCTACTTTTCATGGATTTCATCCATGCTTGCAACACAATAGTTTCCTCTACAGAATTAAAAGAGGTTTGAGCATTTTATTTTAATAAATCAAGCATGTTATTTTTATTGTCATTTACTTATATTTTAATTTATGTAGAATTGTAAGAGAAATTATGAAATGCTAGTAATAAAAGTATAAATATGGTAATATTATCTTGTGAGTTTTTTGTTATTGTTAAAAAATTGCTTTTGCAACATTTTAAAATAAAAATGTATTAATATGTATAGTAGATTTTTTTAAACTTGAAAATGTCTTATACACATGTGCTTCTAAATGTATGATAGTTTAGAGAGTGTATCAATTTTCACATAAGGTGTAACAACTTTATTTTGTATTAATACTTTGTTTTGTGAAAAGCACAATTGTTTTGTGTTTGGGTGGATTCCCCCTTTTTTAGGTACCTAGAACAGAAGCTGTATCTGTCCTAGCTTCTCTTCTCTGCTTCCCTAACTTGTACTCCGAGATTCCTACTTTGCAGTCCAGTTCCACAGATATGAATATCTGGAACAGCAAAGATGCAAAAGTATGTGCTTCAAAAGTGTTTGAAAATTATAGATAATGTCTATGTATTAGGTGAACATAAAATTTCAATTTAAAAATTTTATAAATGATTTAGGATATAAAATTTTTAATACTAAGTCTGGTATAAAAATTCTATATAATTGTTTGTATAAAATTCCATTTAATTATTATATATCTAAGCACAATAAAATATATTTTCTCAAAGATAAACTTTTATATTTTATTCTGTATAGGATCACGTCCTTAGTTTTTTAATAAAAGCTGGGAAAAGGGAGCCTGCTGCCCTGGCAAGGTAACATATTCTTTATCTACATCTGTCTGCCTGGGTATATGTCCATCCATTTGTGTATTTTTTTATTCATATATACAGCATTTCATATTTTTTTGAAACAACACATTTGCTTGCCAAAAATAGAAACTAACTTGACCTTTAGAATGTGTTCATTAAGATTTTTACTCATTTAAAAGCATTTTAATAGGAATTTTACAAGTAGTTCTCAAGCTGAATGCACTGAATAAATTACCATAATTCACCAGTACAGTCTTATAAAGCATTTTAACCCTATCGCCCCAGTAATCCTTTACTGCGCATGACACAAGGTTTTAGTGTCTTACATTCACAATTTTATTATACTACTTTTTGTTTGTTATACCAATTAGAATTGCATAAAATCTTAGCTAATAATCTGTATTTTAATAGTATACAAGTTTTAAGTTCTTAAATCTACAAGGGAATATTTAAAAAAATCCTGAATTTCCACTAGTGTGACCCACGTGACACATTTTATCTTAGCATGTCATCATCCCTATTTTATCCATCACCCCTCGAAAATGTACAAAATTAAATGTAAATTACTATATATAGAATCGTTATTGCTCAGACAAACCATAATTTTTAGTCTTCAATTTTGTTTACTTACAGAGCTATCGAATAGAAAATCAGAACCCTCTTGCCACACCCACCTGTCATATCCTCTTTCACAATTTGTTGATAGTTCTATGTTACATTTCATTATATATTACCTATAACCAATAGAAAGTCAAGGTTTACATCTATCAAATGATGTTAAACGTTTTGTTCTGAACAGAATATCGTCAATTTCACTAGCAGTACAAGATTCGTCCCCGTTTGAAAGTTAACAACTAGCATGGATGAATTCATAATGGCTCTTGTCACACAGTT